CGCGGAGATGTCCTCGATTCGCCCGTGCCGCCAACGACACTGAGGCCGGCGGAGCTCTCCTCTGGCGAGGAGCAGGGGACAGGGGTAATGTTAAGCTCGTTTTATGCATTTTCTTTTCATAGGTCCTGGTATGTAGTATGTCTGCCTGCAGCTGCGGAGGAATCGGGCACGACGCCCTTAACCAAGACGCCCGAGCCCGCCTGGCTGGTCGCATCTTCTGCGGCGAATCACATGATCGGCGACGTGAGCCAGCTGACGGATTGCACGCCCGCGCTTGCCGATCTCGTCGTCCAGGTTCCGAACATGGGGCCTAGGCGAGTCCACCGTATTGGGTCGCTGAGCACGCTGACCATGTCTCTCCAGAATGTGTACTACGTCCCTGAGCTTGACAAGAACCTGGTCTCCAGCAGCCAGGGCCGGTCTGAGATTTTGAGGACCCGGGGCAAAACTATAATCCGAAGCCCTTCTTATAAATATCTAGTTAATAATCATTATATGTACATATAATTTATATCAAAGAAAATAATTAAGTACATCTAAAATAATTGTGCATATCACATAATGTATCACATATTACCTTCAAAATTTTCTCCTTATGCGTTCCTTCTCCTTTGTGATTTTTTGTTGTAACTCTTTATCAATTGTTTCATGCTTGCTCAGTCTAACTCTTATTTCATTCTAAGAGTTCATGTTGGTAATATGGTCGACACTGGCTTCGTGCTCTTTCAGTCTCTCATTAATATGCCTCCAATCACAAAACCAATCATTCCCCATTGCACTCGTGCATTTATCAGAATTGAAAAGCTTACAGGAAAAACAAAACACTGTTTTGTGTGTTTTGAAAAAACTAACCATTTCCTATCACGCACCTCCTCATTGCTCATCTTTGTTGAGCAATAACTATACAAAAAATGTCTTAAATTTTCATCCAAAGGATATTCAGTATTTTCTTCTTCCCTTTTAGGCCCCCTTTTCACTAATATGTCCCTCGCTTTATTATCAAGATTACCCCAATTGCTTGAATCATAAATATCCACAGTAACCGGTTACTAATCAACACTAGTAGATTCTGCCGTAGATGAATTAAATATGGGCTCATGATCACTCACATTGCTATCATCCATGTTGACATCAACATTGCCTTCTGTGCGAGTATGACCATCATCTTCCTGATTGCCATTAGTTTGGCCACCCGCAAGAACTATTGCCAACTCGTCTGGATTTTTTGGAGTGCTTGTATCGCTCTTATAATATTTAAAAAGAAATCCACTCAATGCATCTTTCTCCTCATCTGCCTCCTTCTTTTTACTTTTATGACCTCCGGATGGATACTTTCTACCCGAACTTGACATGACCCTGCTCAAATTAAAAGGAACAATTAGCTTTCAAAATTCGCGCAAAGCTAATTAAAATTTAAAATTTTAGATAAAGTACCAAAGATCATCTAATATAATGATAAACTTCTAGGGCCTAATATAGTACCTTCTCTCTGTAATCTAATCGGCAACATGGGCGCAATGATTTGAGCGCCCTAAAAACAGTTCGTCAGTTCCCTGTTAAGTTGTTCGATCGATCAAGAAATTGGGAATTGGCGGCTGCTACGAATAAGCCGGATGATTTCCTAGGGAAATCATCCGCATTGCCAATCGTCCAATCTGGACGAGGTGGCCGTTTGATCGTAGCACAACCCAGTCTTCCTTCTCTGCTCTTCCATCCATCAGACGCAAAATCCACCATATGTATCCCTCAGCAGCAGCTTCCACGGCAGCACCGGCGGCGCCGCCGGCTCTCCATTGCAACCTAGGCCAGGTTCAACGACCCTCCGGCGTGCTTCACTGCAGCCCAGGCGTAGCTCCATTGCAATCCCGACCAAATTTCAACGACCCTTCGTTGTGCTTCATTGCAACTCCGGCGGAACTTCATTGGAACCCCAACCAAGTTCCGACGACCCTCTGGCATGCTTCACTGCAGCTTCGGCGCGCTTCACTACAACTCCGACGTGCTTCACTGCAGCTCTGGCGGCGCTCCATTGCAGCCTAACGAACCCGGCGACGCTTCATTGCAGCCCCGGCGGCGCCGCGTTGTTTCACTGCAGCGCCACACCGGCACGGCGGGCTCCATCGCAGCAGCCCGTCGGCGGAGCTTCACTGCAAACGTCACCACAGCGCATTGATTCTCTGTTGTAGCATCGGCTGCCCCCGCCGTGCTCCATCGAAGCACCCGATGGCCTTGGCGAAGCTTCACTGGAGCACCACCATCGGCACGGTGGTGCTCCATCGCAGGGCGACGGCGACGTGGTTGCTATGACGAAGCACACGACGGCGACAGTAGATGCTGCACGGCGGCGACGGGATGCTGCGACGCATCACCCGGTGGTGACGGCGACGCGATGGTAATGGCGGATGCTTCGTCGCCTCTTCCTGGCAGCAGCAGCGCGCGACTGACGTTCTGGTGGTCGCCGGGCAGAGTGCAAAGGAGAGAGCCGTGTGAGAGGGAACGGGGGGGAAAGATGAGGGAGGGGACGAGTGGAGGAGAGAGCGCTGGAAAAGATAAGATGGGGAGGAAAGCGGTGGGCTCGGGGGAACACGTGGCGAGTGTACAAGACGGCTTATAGCGACAGAAAATCATCCGGTTGATTTGAACACTTTTCCTTGGGAATTAGGATTAGAAAGAAAAGAAATAGGATGAAGATCATGTGAGGGAAGAGGGCGCGACCAGATGTACCTGCCGCAGTCGTCGCGTCGTTGGTGAGGAGGCAGGTTTTAAGAGATTAGACAAACAGGAAAAAAGGGCAGGGAACAACCGATCCAAAGTTACAGGAGGAAATCAATCCAACGATTCCTTTTCCAATCTCCGGTTTCCATGTGACTACGTACAAACATGGGCCAGGCCCAACATATCTTTACTTTCCTAGGCTAGTAGTGATCGGGGCGATCGGCCAGAAGCTGAACGAGGCGCGCTGAGACGTGAGAGATAGATTAGTTTCAGTTTTTCCGGATCGAAGACCTGTATATACATACGTACGTATACCTGGGAGAGGGCCCCTGACTTTTGGGGGCCCCGTTCGCCCCTCCCCAGGACCGGCCCTGCCAGCAGCCAGCTCGCCAAACTTGGCTACACCATGACCCTCGGTCCTTCAGAGTGCCGCGTCACCAAGAATGATCAGGACCAGACCCTTGTGGGGAAGGCTCATTTCACCGATGATTACCTGTCCGAGCTGGACTTCCTCAGGGTTCCTCCCTCCACCGGCTGATGGTGCCCTGCCTGCCATCTATCGACTGTGTGGTTGTCACTGCCTACATCATAGAGGTTGGAGAGTAATGATGAATGCATACATGCCTGCCGCAGTCTTGTTGTAATAATTACATACAAGGTGGATGATTATGTCGTGAGATTGGAGTAGTTTTAGATAGTTACCGTGACTTTGAGTACTCTACATTCATTATACCCAGAACATTGCCAATCCAACTACTCCTATATTGAATCCATGAATGGCATGTTCAGTCTGTCATGGCAGGAGGTTGTGTGTACTGATCATACTTCCCTTTTGCTGTTGGTTTGCTACATGAATGATGCCGCCTAGACAGTAGTTAGCCTGGAATTAATGACTCTGGGTTTGAAGGTTTTCATGGTTTCTAGCTTCTCTCGCGAATTCGATAATTCAACCTTCATTTTGCAACTGTCCCATGCTTGAATCTCATTCAAACAGGTTGTTAACGTTGAAACTGATGGGCCTCGCTTAAGAATGAAATGTACTAGTACTAAACTACTAATTGGACTGGTAAGAACTTCCTCTGCTCGTTCCAAAAAATATACATTCATTCTAACTTTTTTTATGCGGTTGCATTCTACCTTTTTTTGTTCACAAGACATCCAAACAATCATTCGTACCGCCGTCGATTTGATCTTGTATCTAATTTTCAGTCAGGTGCCTTCACCGTTTTCGTAACTATGCATCCCTGAATGTGCTTGCCTGTTTTACCGTTGGTACTACCCTGTTGTTTATGGATGCATTCCAGGCCACACCCGCCTGCAAGCCAGAGCTCTGCACATGTTGTAGGCAAAGATGAAAAACGATGAAAGATTAATCTAGTAACAAACTTAACTTGATGAATAATAGCCTTAGGGTCACCAGGAAATCGCCCCGAAAACAAGTTGTTGTCTTCCACAGGGTCCAAATATATGATGCATCAAACCCCAACTTCCACACTGTCACACAGTTGTGACAGATTATATGGAGCCGTTGTGAAACCGTAATTTGTTGTTTATGATGATCAAGCGAAGGTCTAGAGCCTTCAGACGCACATGTGAGGACAATAGGCAGGCTCTCGCAGTCTACCTTTCCAGCAATAGGGTTTCCACCCCCTTTTTGTCTGCAGGAAAGTGCAATCACGGTGAAAAAACTGTGTGTGGTCTTTCACTAAGACCTGTAGTGAATGGTTCTTATAGATCAAGATTCAGGTATATCACCTGCTAATTAATGCAGATAAAGGGCAGCAAAGAAATGATGACCAATTAATCCAGAGATACAATGAGTACAGTTACCAATCCAGAGATACATGGGTACAAACCAGAGAGATACATGGTGCAAGTGAACCACCAAATCAGAAAAAAAAGCCGGAGATACATGAGTACAACTAGACAGACTTAGAGAGTACACAACTACCAACATCGAAACATGAGTACAACCACCAAACCATGAAAACCGGAGATACATAAGTACACCCAGAGACTGAAGGAAAGTTGTACTCTCTCCGTTCCAAATTACTCGTCGTGGTTTTAGTTCAAATTAGACAGACTCGTCGTGGTTTTAATTTGGAACGGAGGGAGTACATGAGTACAACCACCAATGCAGAGAGAAACATGAGTGCATCCACCAAGCCTGAAAAACAAGAGGCACATGACTACAACGAGAGACCGAAGCAGGAGGGTACAGATCAGCTAGTGAGATGAAAAGCATCATAGCAGAGATTGTTGCAGAGGAAGATGGATGGCAGTTTTTAACGAAGAAGTGACTTGAGATGCTTTTTGACGTCGCTGTTCTTTGTGTGTTCCATGATGATCCATACCAGGGTCGCGAGCTCGCCGCCGCAGCTGAGCTGCTTGGCGTGAGAATCCCTGCTGCACCGCATGGACGCAAACATGAGCAGACGCACCCACGCATCCAAGACAAACTCCAACATATCCCCATGAGGTTTCTGCAAATCTGGAATCCAGTATGCAAGTAGTTCCATCGTACCTTTGCTTTCTCCACCCCTGGACGGTGGGTTTAGCAGCATCTGGCCAAGTTGAGCTCCTCTCCAGACAGTAGTCATATTCAAACCCGGGTCATTAAGATTATCCTTGTCCATCTTTTGAGTTCCTCCCCAGATAGGTGAATTTGGGTCATTAAGACCATCCATGTTATTCAGCATCCACTTGGCAACCATCTCCTTTTCTTTTGTTGCATGACTAGTTGGTATAGCCACTTTCCATATCAACTCCACAGCACGGCGTGTTTTCTCGTGCAGCCCGCCGAGCGTACGCCCTGGTAGCATTTGAGGGCGTTTGGCGACGAGGAACATCATGTAATCTGACATCTGCTCCATCGCCTTCACGAGTTCCTCGGACTTTCCGCCTCCGATACTGGGTCTGCGTGCGAGGAAGACATCGGTGGCGATGTGCCAGATGAGGATGACCTCTTGAAGCTCAAGATGGAACCTCCTATCTTCATCTGACTGATCTGCATGCTTGATGTCAGCAGCTTTCTCGTCATAGTGTTCAGGCGGGGCTTGACAATACCTCAAGTGATGAGTTTGTTGCTCGTAGGATCTGGGAGAGTACTCTGCAACAGCTTGCCTGTCAGGGCGGTGGCATTGACATGGTGGCACATTTACACGAACAAACTGTTCATGGGGCAGCTCGGGACCAGGGAATAAGTGCTTGCACATGTTGATGAACACCAGCTTCTTGACATTGTCTGGAATCTCAAGGCCCCTCGAATGGTCTTCCCATTCATAGCCTCTCGAATTCAACTGGCCTTTTGATTCAGTCGTCAGCCCAGGTATGCTGTATAGGTTGCGCCTGTTTCCAACAGTGCACTGGTCAAACATGTTGCACTGCCCGAAGGTGCCCGCCCACCTCCTGTAGCTTTTGGGCTCTCTGGGACATGCACATGTCCACAACCACAAGGAGAGCCGGGAAAGACGCAGTGACACGACAAACCGACGAAGCTTCGCCCATCTCTCCAGGCACCAAAATTGATGCTTGAACCAGTTGTGTGACATATGTTTGAAGTATGAATGTGTCCAGCCTGACGCTAGTGCTCTCAACAGCGATCTCACATCGTGGAGGAGGGTCGTAACCAGCAATATGTAACTCACAGCTTTATCTATTGGCTCAAGCTTCATGCACTCTTTGCACTGGAGGAAAAACAGCAGGAGCGCAGTGGCGGTGAGGAATGGCGAGGCCAGACGGATGGCGTAGCCATGCCAGGTGTGGGCCACAACTGCCTTGGTGTATAGGATGTCATACATAAGGGAGAGTTCCATCTCCACCACCTTGCACATACTCTCCCATTGACCCGAGAACATGCTTCTGACTGCATCACGGTCCATGTACTCCACCGAGTAATCAGAAAAGGCACCCTTGCAGATATCGAACAGGCTGTGAGCAACCAACAAGGCTTCCTCGTCTTTCAGACCCTCCAGATTCTTGCCTCCACCATAGTCATCCCTGAAGCTATTGGCATTGGGCTGCAGCTTCCTGAATGACCTCCGGATGCGGCTCAAGTTGCATTGCCTTAGCGCCACCGCACTCTCCGCATACTTGTAAAGGCCCAGCAATAACATGATGAAAGACGCCTGGCGCAACAACCCAGCAGTGGACTCAAGGAGTATATATCTGCACACAATAAATGCGGATCCCACGGACTGCAAGAAAACAAATACACCCGCGCGCAGCCAGAGCTCACTGTCCTCGCTGATGAAGGCGCTGATGTTGTCTGGGCGAGCGTTGTGCAGCAGAAGGAATGGCACCCAGAAGGCGACGATCATCTTCTCGCACGGCGAGGTTTCGAGGTACAGATTGCTGATGACATATGCCGGGCACCACTCAGTCAGCTGGTACGCCAACCACAATAACACTCTCTTCCAACCTTTGCCTTCACGCCTGCGGCTCTCGGAGAAGGAGGCGAGAATAACATACATAAGGAAGCTGAGAAGCAGCACTATCCGGTACACATAGAAACTCAACCACTTTACATCAGCTTCTATCCATGCTACAGCCATCTTGCTACCCCCTGCAATCAAGATTAGTTTGTTACACTGGTATAGCATACATATGCAAGCATGCATCTAGTATGTGTTGCATCTGATGCTACACAGAGGTTAATAAGGAGCAAAAACCAGGATAAAATGTGACACATACAGGCATGCAACAGCTAGCTAGGCAGATCGATGCTTCAACCTTCCGTTCGAGACTGAACTGAAGGCAAGAGTTGCTCCCTAGAGTCTTATCTCTAGAGATGGGACTGGCATATGGTCAGCTCTAAGTTGAGCACTGATCTGATAGCGCCTGTAGAGAGTTTCCTGGTCAGGTTCAGTACGTTCTAGTATTTTGTATTGACCCATTATACTATAGCCATTGCCCATCTATCCATTTTTAGTCCTAAGAAATGCAAGGTTGTCAGAGACGGTTCACTTTACCAGGGGTTGTTGTCGATCTGATCTAGGTTTGGCAGATCCAATCTGCAAAATTCACAATACTTATTGGGACAGCTAATCAACACTGTTCTTTAATTCCACTACGTATATACTGTAGTAGATACTAGTACACACCCACTACCTTGCGTGCACACCATCAGCCAAACAGAAACTAACGACGAATTAGTTAACAAGAATCACCAAGGAGACGGGGCCACATCACATGCTTGCAATGAACCTAGCTATCTTGTACAAGAATGGCATAAACAAGAAAAAATATTGATGATTGCCACACGTTTGCTTGTCTGCCATTCTTTCATCACCTCATCGGTGGCACATAAGCAAAAAAAATACAAAATATGTAGTGGCACATGTGAAGAAAAACAGTGTACTACTAGCAATACTCATCGTGGTGCTTGGGCATATGTAGGAACTCGGTAACACCCCTGTTCCCAGTCATACCGAAGACCGCAGCACGCGAAAT